TACAAGAAGCTTATGCTGCTCTCTCTTTAGAAGATTGTACAAATTATGATAAGGTCAAAGCAGCTATTGTCAAAGCATACGAGTTAGTACCGGAGACTTATAGCCAAAAGTTTCGAGTTTTCACAAATAGGATAATCAAACTTATATGGAATTTGCTTACAAAAAGGAGCTTTATTTTGATTGATGGTGCAATTCTATGCATACTGGCAACATTTTCGACAAACTAAGACAATTATGCCTAATTGAGGAATCTATACTTTGTGCATGTGATGACCTCAAACCTTACTTAGATGAAAATAAAGTTGAAACACTACAGGAAGCAGCCGCTTTTTCTGATGACTACACTTTAACACATAAAACCACTTTTCATGAAAAGAAATTCCTACCATCTCAACAAAAACCTGTACCTGTTCAATCCACTAAAGTTGAAGATTTTTCTAAAAAATCCAGCTCCTCTAGTTCAAAATCTTTTGACAGTCAGGATAAAGCTTCTTTAAAGCAATCAAAGGCCTGTCTGCCATTTTTGTAAAAAATCTGGTCATGTTATGTCCGATTGTTGATGTTTGAAAAAGAAAAGGAGGCGACACTCAGTGCATTTGTGTCCACATATGGACGTGGTTTCACCAGATCACCTGATGTTGTTGATATGGCCACTGATATAAAGGCTGATGTAATCAGGGAGGAAGTTAGGCCATTTATGTCTGTTAGTTCTGTGTCTTTGACAAATGACACTGGCAATCCCATACCCATACATATTCTACATGATACTGAGGCGACTCAATCATTGTTGTTAGAAGGTATATTGCCTTTAGAATCGAGTTATGCTACTGGTGAGTCTGTTATTGCTCTGGACATTGAAGGTGGTTTTGTTAATTTTCCTTGTCGTAACATTTATTTAGCATCAAACCCAGTTTCAGGAACGGTTATGGTTGGAGTAAGACCCACTCTACCAATTAAGGGTGTATCATTATTGTTGGGAATGATTTGACAGGGGGAAAAGTTGTTGCTGAACCTAAAATGGTTAGTGAGATGATCACTGTTTCATCTAAGGATGATGTTGTTGTTGAAGAGAATCTCGATGTGTTTCCCTTGTGTGCTGTGACTCGAACTCAGGCTAAGGAATTAAGCCAGAAACAAATGATAGACATGGATTCAGAGGATGATGTTATAGATTTATATCGGATATTTTTTTGGATCCAATGAGGATCTTATGGATAATTGTCGTACTGATGATTCCTTGGTGAGGGACAATGATGGATGTGAGGGATCTGATTTACGTGGTGAAGATCCATTTACTAAAAGTAAACTGATCACTGAGCAACAAAAGGATCTGCAGATCTCTCCACTATTTAAATTTGCACTCCCAAAACATGAGGTGGAGAAAGTTCCAAATGGCTATTTTTTCAAAAATGGTGTGCTTATGAGGAAATGGAGACCACCAGATGGGCCAGCTTCAGAGGACTGGGCTATTGTTTATCAAATCGTTGTTCCCAAAGCATATCATTCTGAAATATTGACAATCCCAGCTTTTAAAGAACATAAGTTCTGTCCTGAGGACATGGTATTAGTATTGTTACCCACTATGGGATATCTTATCAAAAAAAAGAAGAAGAAAAAATAGAAGGAAAGAAGACTATTAAATTGTAGTTTATCACTACAAGAGTATGATTTGGAGATAATCCATGTCAAGGGGGTTGATAACATTTGTACTGATGCACTTTCATGTGCTATGTAACTTTTTGATCATAAGGTTATTTGTGTTGATTGTGTTTGTATAGTGTAATGATTATTGAAGTGGTATAATCCTTTGAACAATCTATTATATTTTATGTATTGTTGCCAATGTATGTGTATATACATAATATCTTAGTTAAAAATTGTCTAATGCCAATTTTTAATTCTCTCACACCAATACTATGCAGAGATATGAAAATTTAGAGCTGTGTTTTAAAAACAATATTTATCTAGGTATGTGTAAAACTGTAACAAATTTATCATTATATATTTATTTTAGTGTCAATGTTTGTTTAGATTAAGTTTATATTTAGAAACATACATAGCTTATACTGTTAAATATGTATTGTGAAACTTCCACCTATTCCCACAGTTGTAGAAGATTCTCGAGCGTAAGAATCAACA